GAGAGAACAACACTCATCACCCAGGCCACGCTCAGCATTATTTTGTTCTTCTTCTTAGCCTTATTGATGGCCAGAGGGTTGAGAATGGCCGACTGCCTGTCCAGGCTTATGACCACAGTCACAAACGCACAGGAGTACATAGCCACGAGCTTCAGAAACATTAGAAATCTGCAAGCCAGATCCCCCGCCAACCACTGAACCGTGATGTTCCAAGCCGCATCCACTGGCATCACGATGAAAGTCACCAGCAGATCGGCAACGGTGAGGTTCATGATTAAAATTCTTACATGAGATTTGCGCTTGTTGTTGGTGCTGGCAGCCCACAACACAGAGAGGTTGCACACAGCTGACACTGCGCAAAGAGTGAAGGTAATTATCACCCTCACTTTTGCTGCCATGGAAAAAGTGGGCAGCTGCAATGCCGCTTCACCTGTGCTATTGTTACACGTGGGCAAGGTGTAGTCACAGCTACCGTTCAGAGCATCTGCAGTCAGCTGGTGAAACATGATGTTCTCAGATGTTGGAGAGCTGTCATTCATCACTGAAGAGCGAAAGCGTGTGTTTGCTGCATTTGCTCGGCTACCTGCTGCCCAATGAGGCTCACAGAAGATTCATCATGATCTGGGGAGGAGACTGTGATAGTACCTGGAAAAGCTCCTTTAGTTGATAGTACTAGAGTGGGATCTAAAAAAAAAACCGGGCGTTCTAGCAGTTCGATAAAACTCCTAAATAGTTACTTAAGGTGTTTTCAGTGTGTCTAAATAGTTTATGTTTAAAGCAAATCTACAGTCTGTGTAAGATAACCCTCAAGAACTAAACCTACAGAAAATCTTTTGAAACGACCTAAATTCTCCTGACTGATTTGTCTCTTGGCCATTTTCTGTGATGCCACAATCCTCCTAGATGCAATGCAAACGTATAAATTAAATAATATTTCATGATAATTCATGACTTTTTTTCAGTTTAGCCTACTCAAAACATTTACTGCAATTCAAATAGTACAAAAATCTTCAAAGAAATGTTATTTTTAAAGGAGACCTATTATGTCCCTTGTTACAATATGTAATATAAGTCTCAGGTGTCCACAGAATGTGTCTGTGAAGTTTCAGCTCCAAATACGCCACAGATCTTTTATTAGGCCTATATCATTTTGAAAATGCCTATTTTGAGTGGAAGCAGGAACACTGTTATGTCTGTGAAGGTAAACAGCTGGGAAAGAAATCGGGAAATCTGAGTGGGTCGTTTTTTTCACAAGCTTGCAGAGAAAAAAATATATTGGGTTGTTCTTTTTCATGTTTTCTGGGTTGGTAGATGCACCAGGGACACAATTATAGCACTTAAACATGGAAAAAGTCCGATTTGAATGATATGTCACCTTTTTTCCAAATGATAATAGTTCAAACTATCTGTTTGTTTCATGAAACTATTTGTCCCACTTTACCTGATGTCTCACTTTTACTGAACTCACCCTATTTGTGTGACCAGTCAAATGTTCAGATCTGTTTACCATTGAGAATAATTTGCTTGAAAGATAATTTGTGGTTCAGTTTAGAAAACATAGTTAAATATGTTATTTTTGGCCAGTTCATTTAGCATTCCACAGGCACACACTTCAAAAAGATGTATATAATAGAGAAACTGGTTTCACTGACCATGCTGAAAAAAGTTTGTGACCCTACGTAAAACAATCTGAGACCTCCAGCTAGCCTTTAAGAACGTACTTTAATTGAAATGGATTTGAAATAAAGCCAAATGGGGAGTTGGGTGAATGGTTTATCAGGCATGTGTTGTAAAGCATATAATAAATTGTATTTATATTCATTTAAAAAATCTATTTTTATTTCAACTGAACTGATTACTTAATTATTGTGTCATTTAATATATAAATTATATTATCATAATGGGATTAGGCAACGCTAATGTTATTATAGTCTGAAAGTAAATTATTTAATTGTTTTTTTTCTTTGGCCATATGGGACGATTTGCAGCTCCTTTTCACAATTATAACTCTTTAATTAATTGTATAACCATACTTTAATTATAATTGACTCTCTTGAGGCATGATGTGGGCTTTGCATTGCACTTCACTATTATGATGAAGCCCAAAGCATGTCTCAACATTGGCACCCAGAATAATCGCCATAATTGATTATGCAATGAGTACAGCATGCTCTCCTGATTAAAATATATCTTATAAGCATTAGCATGACAGTAATTGATCTCACTGAGGCTTTGTATTAAAGAGAAGGTGTCAGTAATGCTGCTGCAAGGGAAATTAATTTCTTAGTGACCTCAAGGTCTCTCCTACCCACCCAGACCTGGAGACAGGAGAGGATGCTGTGGCAGAAGTCAAGCTCAATTCAGCTTCAGAGGGTGTTGCAGACAGATCTGAGCTCCGGCCCGAGCTGGCCCCATTTTCCTGCTACAGGGAACTGAGCTGTCTGGCACATCAACACTGCGACAAATATGGCTCTCCACTGTCTCCTCTCATTAAATATTGGCATGTATAAACAAACACACAACTCCTCCTTCCCAAACACACTCAGGTATAGACATCCTGTCACCGGGGAGAACAGGAGAACTTATTAAACCCTCTCCACAAGTATAATATGCGCCGCAAACTTGCTTAGAGAGCAATCGCAGCCAGCTGAGAATTTGAATGACAGACTTTTGAACTGCCATCTTCAGAATATTGAAAGATTGCCTGCAATAAGAATGGGTGCTTTTGTAAACTGGAAATATTGTATAGGTGGTCTACTAGCCTTCATTCTGATTCTTATTTCCTATACAGTATAACGCTCTTCTTGCCCTCATTCAGAGAGGGCAGAGAAAGTTAATTTCCAGAAATCTCATAAAAGGAAAGTTACCCTTACAGCAATAAAGAGAAGCATAAATTTAAATGAACATTACTTCCCTTCACATTTCGAGACTGCCCCAAGAGATATGCACAACATTTTTGTCTGTTCAAAGAGAAAACTTAATCAATCCGTACATTGTTAATAAAGTACAGAAGAGTCAAGGAAATGTTACAGTACATTTATCCATTTTCACATAGGAACTACTTAGTTTTCACATTCTCTCGAATGTTCTGTCACCTTTGATTTTTATACAATGGTTAGTTAGTTTGGTCCTTGAAACTGCACTCTTAAAAATAAAGGTTCTTTGTTAGCATAACTTTTACCATCCATGGAATGTTTCTGTGATGTATCCACTAAAAAGAATACACATGAGACACCACGTTTGTCTTCTAGCCACCACTTTACTTCTTTTCTAACTTCCGCCGAACTGGCGCCCCCAACAAAATCCCAACATTCCTAGCGCTACCGCTACGGAATCTCAATGGTCTCAAATGCCAAATTGTAAGCATTTAATACATCACATTACCCCCCTTTTTAAACAAAGGTACCTTCAGCTTCACCCTAATAATAATCTATACATGGCAACCCACAACTTTACTGTCTGAACCAATAACATAACTGTTACTATTTTTATTTTTATTTTTTTTAAACAACAACATCACAGAACAAAATAAGCATCGCATATATATATGACCATAACAGTCCTATACTGGAGTGCTATCCAAGGGTTTCTTTTTTTTTATTACAAGTCATAGCGTTTTGGTGGTTTTCTTATTCTGGATGAGCAACGTGGACTCTGAGCAACCCCTTCACTGTCCTCTCCGAAAGGCTTCCGTGGTAATGGGTAAGTCTCTGTAATAGCTGCTTGATTCACCGTTAATTTATAGTCCCCACACAGTCTTATGGTTTTGTCCTTTTTCATCACCGGCACAATGGGTGCTGCCCATTCACTGTGTTTTACAGGCGTGATTATTCCAGCCTTCTCCAGCCGGTCCAGTTCCGTGTCAACTTGGGCTTTCATAGAAAAAGGCAGTGGCCGGGATTTACAAAAGCGTGGAGGAATTTCAGGATTCACCAGTATTTTTGCCTTAAGCCCACGGAGTGTGCCTAGTTCATCTTTGAACACCTCCGAGCCTGAATCCAGCACTTCTTCAAGAGACTTTGTTTGATCCATTTGACTGACATGTTTAATTTTTTTCCAGTTTAAGCTGAGCTTTTGTAGCCAATTTCTGCCACACAAAGCTGGCCCCTCCCCTTTTACTACTATTAAGGTTAGCAGTTTACTTTGTTTTTCGTAGCTCACATTAGCTTGAAACTGTCCCAACACAGGCATAATCTCTCCAGTGTACGTTTTAAGCTTGACTCCTGCGACCTCTAGTGGCTCTTCTGAGAACGCAACTTGGAATAGTTTCTCAGATATGATACTCACGGCAGCGCCCGTTTCAATTTCCATCATAATTTCTTTGCCATTTACTTTAAATGTCTCTGTGAATGACTTTTTCCCGTTCTCATCACTTAACAGCGAAAACATGGGCAACTCAGCTTCCTCTGCCTCCACATACTTAGTGTTTTTCTCAGCATAACGTTTACTTTTTCCAGCTTCCATTTTTCCTCTGCAAGCTATTTTGATGTGGCCAGTTTCCCCACAGTTATGGCATTTTGCATCCTTGAAATGACAAACATAAGGGCTGTGATCTTTGCCGTGACACCTATAGCACTTCTTCCCTCTCTGATCGGAATGTCGCGCTGCACGCACATCCACTTTATGAACCACTCCCAGCGCGATTCATGCCCTCTCAGCTGCTGCGTGTCTTTCTCCGCCGTCTCCATACTCAATGCGATCTCAAACGCACGTGCAAACGTCAGATTAGATTCTGACAACAGTCGTCGTTGGCAGGCTTCGTTGCGGATTCCACTCACGAATCGGTCGCACAATGCCTCGTCCAGCGTTGCTCCGAATTCACAACTCACAGCGCACTGTTTTAGCTCATCGACATATTCTGTCACAGTCTCATCAGCTCTTTGATCGCAATGATTAAAACGGAATCTTTCTGCAATCAGCAAAGGCTTTGGCTCAAAATGATTCTTTAAAGTGTCCACAATGTCTTTGTAAGACTTATCTTTCGGCTTCTCTGGTTGTACCAAGTTCCTCAGTAAACCGTAGGTAGTTGCTCCCATCACACTCAACAGGGTCGCAACCTGCTTCTCCTGGCTTATGTCGTTCGCCTCAAAGAACTGCTCCAGCCGTTCAATATAAGCCGACCACGACTCTGCTTTTGGAACAAACTCGCTTATATTTCCAATAAGCGCCATAATTTGAATAAAACTTTTATCCTCGTCGCCAATTTTTCTGTGATGTATCCACTAAAAAGAATACACATGAGACAGCATGTTTGTCTTCTAGCCACCACTTTACTTCTTTTCTAACTTCCGCTGAACTGGCGCCCCCAACAAAATCCCAACATTCCTAGCGCTACTGCTACGGAATCTCAATGGTCTCAAATGCCAAATTGTAAGCATTTAATACATTACAGTTTCCATTCCACAAAAGGTTATTTATAGTCAATAAAAGTTCTTTAGATTTTCTTTAGACACTAAGAATAAAAACACTGAAATATTTGTTGGGGAAACAAAAATGGTTCTTCTGTGGCTGCGAAACGCCCCTTTTGCAACTTTTATTTTTAAAAGTGTATTTGATCAAATAAGGTTCCAAGATTGCTGATATAAAAGTCCAAAAGCATTGGGAGTTTGTGCATTATTGGTAGGAATATTCAGTGATTCCTTTTGCAGTTATGTTTACCTGTGAGATTGGTTTGGGTGGACCTTCATGTTTACTGTCTTAACAAGTGAATCACTGAATCATTCATTTGACTGCTTCGTTTTGGGTCGTTCACGATCAAAATCAGTTGTTTCAACGGATCCTAGAAAGTGACTATGTGACTATGTTAGTGACTATGACTAGTGACTATGTTTAAAAACTATTTTCATAGTAGGCACAAAAACAGACACACCTTTAAAAAAATTTAATTCAACTCTTGCTTATAAATGTTGTTTAATGTCTGCGTCCTTGTTAACTTCTCAGAAACAACTTTCTTTTAATCAAGTAATCTTTTGTATTAGGAACGTCACGGTTACGTATGTAACCCTCGTTCCCTGAAGGAGGGAACGGAGACGTCACATCGGAGGGATCCTGAACCCACAACGCACTCTTTCTCGTGCAATATTGATTTATATACGAATATATGCACTTATGTATGCTTGCATAGACTGTGTGGTTCAAATTTAAGAAATTAACCTTTAAAAGCAAACAAACCAGAGTGTGCAGAGGGTCACACACACACACACACACACAGAAACACTTGTGCGCATACAGATTTCATTCTCATTTACTCATTAGAATTTGACAGACTGAGTCTTTAATGGTATGTTTCAACAATTTTCTGAAAGGAGGTTGAAGGTTCATCCAACTCCATTATTGTAGTAAAGGTCATTTCACTGTCTAATATTGTGGTTTGTCCCTTGCACTGAAAAAAAGGCTTATTACTTGTCTGCATAATAAGCATGCATGAACAAAGAGCAAGAGTCTTTCATAACCTCAAAGGTGATATATATTCTAGAATATATTTGTACCATATTGGACTTCTATGTGTTTCTGCTTATATTTTAGTCAAGTGTAAATTCATGTTACTGTTCCTTTTCATGTTTATATGGTTT